TCCCAAAAGGGCTCACAGCAAAGAAGACAACAAGTCAAAGGTGACGTGTAATAAACAGATATCAAAAATACAAAGTTTATAAAAAGAATGGTAGACAAGCTGCCAGCAACAAACGGTATTATGAGAAACCAACAAATTAAAAAGTACCTTGATGAATTAATGAGGAATATACATGTCAACCAAAATTTGGAATTTAGTAATTTCATTTCTAATGACTTACTAATACGGCTTATTAGTATACTACTATAAATAATTGTAAAGTAGATGAAAGAGATTACCATCTAATCTAATTACTTATACAAATATAATGCAAAATTATATTGTACAGAACCAAAATGCGGTAAATATTTTAAAAACAAGAGATATTATCTCCTAAAGAAATAACAAAGAATTTCAAATTATATCTGAGGGTTTAATAAATTTTTAAGTAGGAAATATTACAAAATAAATTCATGTTTATACCTGTCTAATATGAAACTAAAGGAAAAATATTGCGTTAGTTTATGAAAATCATCCTCAATTCCGTTAGTATCTAGAGTGACTAGTAAAACATAACCTTTCTGTTTAGTTTTGCTTTTTATCATTTTTAGGGTGCTGCATATTTTATTATATACCTGCTAAAGCAATCTGTGCTTCACAAATCTCGTGTATATAACAATTCAATTCTGTCGAGTTGCTTAGCTCATAAAATACGAATATAAAACTGTGAGAGTAACACATGACTCTTAATGAAAAGTATATTATCTCACATAAAAACATTTTACGCTCGTTTCAACGGTGGTTATTAAATTAAATCATAATTTACACACGCCGAGTTAAATCAGACTGTAAGCTCGTGAAATCGCAATAAAAATTATTAGACTCGTTACAGCTTTTTCCCGCTAGACCCTTTTTATTCTTTTTCATATTAGACCCGTTCTCAGGAACAATGACGTCATAAATGCCGAAGCGATTTTTCATTCCCATCGTAAATGTTCGTTTTCTCTGTACTGTACGTTTTATTTCGGCCACAGTAACAATGTAGCAGTGTGACATGTGAATTTATTATTAATTTTTATATGATCCTTGCCTAATTTGACACCCTTCCTAAACCGTTAACATCGCATATATGTACATATTAGACAGTAAACTAGAACCAAATCTCAGAGCTTTCCTTTTAGATAATCGGATGTTGGTCAAATTGCAATCGCCTAAATAGCTTCTAGAGATTTTTGTAGCCTATGCACGTAGGTATCTCGATGCGATCGCATATAAAAATGAAAGATTATAGATATTCTATAGTATAAGCGTTGGTATATTAGTATAAATAATAATTAAGTTTCAGTACGTACTGACTTTTATGTTACAATTGGAAAACATTTATTATTTATAGTAATATAAAATACAGGCTATATTATAATATATTGACGAACATATGTCATCTATACAATAAATGTTTGAAACCGTAAATATGTCGAAAATATTGCCTGCTACATGTAGACCTTTTCAATTGTCAATCGATTAATGTCTCCTGAACAGTGTTAGAGGCGCATAAATATTTCATTGACATCGATAGTGGGCTGACGGTCGTTTACAACCATCATAAAAATCGCTTAAACCAGGTTTAGGGGGACTAGTTGACACATACGGGATATAAATTACTATAATAGTGTGTACATGCTTTAGTTTTGAATATTTTCTTTTACTATATACCAATTTGCTTTGTATAAAAATAAAGCGTATACTTTTTAAATAATTCCCTTACGATAATGACTACATAATTACGATCCCAAAATAGATATGTAGCTAAAATTCTAAGCAAAATTTGATCGAAAGACTTTAAAAATAACTAAATAGACATGTTTAGATATCTATTCTTGTATAAAATAAATTGAAATGTAGCTGATCTCGTAAATACGTACAATAAAATATCCATAGATTTTATCAATTCAGGCTGTTCAAATATACCTCCTTAAAATCACATCGATCACTCTTCCGACCCAAATTTGACTTTCGCACTCTCTGAATTTCTATGTAAGGGTTCACAAGGGCGACAAATCAATCAATAAAGGTTTTCCCTGTGGTCACAACTCAACACCTACTAAAGTTTTGATACTACTAACATTTGGAAGATTTAAAAGGATATTATTGACCTTTTTGATACTTTTACAAGGAAAGCAGTGTAATGTATACATATGTAACAATAATAAAACATATGTTTTTTTTTTCGTATAATAATTATATAAGTTATTATTATATATATTAGTCTTTATTAATACATATTGTGCATGAAAATACAAAACACCTAATAACTGACTTCTTTTAATAGCAATATTATTAAAGTTCAATACATTATTAAAATACATTAATATTCTATAATTGTACAAAGGAGCATATTTTGACATATGTATGTATTGTATGTACATTTATCCAACAATTCAAAGAGTCAAAGTACAAAGTACATTCAATAAAATCTGTTTATTCCATCTACATATTTACCATGTTTCGAGGGACATTTTATATCACTAATAGATTATCCGTATTGATTCCCGACAATGGACCTTGATATTCCTCTTTGACCACGTAAACATATCATTCCGCGTCCGTGGTATATCTCAAAAAAGGGCCGGGACCCGCTCTTCTGATCTAAGTAAACCTTTCATGTAATTTTATTCCCGATGTTTTGATATGAGAGGCCCTCGAATCACGTTCATTCAAATGACATATTGAAGAAACATGAAGAGCATGTCCTGTCCACGAGTAAAGATCCGCAGTATTCCTTCAAGAGGAAAACAAAATATCATCAAACAAAGAGCCAATGTGGGGAATTGATTTTGCTAGTCCAATCTTACTCGTATGCGGGTTTTGTCTATGAAGCACGATTATTTAATAGTTACTATATATATATAATTTATATTACTGCTCTTTAGGTACAAACTATCCGTTAATAAGTACGCAATACGTATAAATATTTTATATTTTTATTAGTCGCATGGTTACATGTGGTAGTTATTGTCTATAGTTTGTTTGTTAATTAAAAAATATATACGGATTTGCTATAGAACATAATGTATATCTCAGGACAATACACACAGCGCCATCTAGTCGAAAGGCAAACAGTGCTTATATAGTGCGTACTAGTACCCAAGAAAAATATATTTTTCTTTCCAAATCATATTAGACATATTACATGTATAACATCATTAAAAACTGTATCAGTTACAATTGGAGAATTTAAACTTTCTTTACACTTTTCATATTATGGAATAACAATTATCATCATCGTCATCCTCATAATGAAGGTATTCAACATCATTCTTCATTACCGTGAAAAATTATGGAAACGAAAGCCCTGTTTTCCAACCCAATCCGACATTCTGCTCCAAAATTTCCATCCCTGTTGTTTCTTTGTTGTGAAAAATGTTATTTAATTTCAGGCAATTATTACACGCGCTCTACGAAATTACTCCAAGGAATAGGTCCTCGCGGATGTTGGTTTTATTTCAGAAGAAACGGTTCTTTTTTCTACAATGAAAGCTTTATGCCACAAAATGGGAATCCCGCTGTTAGCGTAATCTGCTCTTTATTATATTATGTAAATTACAAATATGCTTTCCTGTTATTTATTATAATCCATCGATAAATATTCTGACTGTGGCATTACTTATGATAAGTCCAAGTTACTATTTACTGTGAGAATTGATAATATTCAAATCGTATAACGTAGGTGAATGTGTTAAGGTAACTGTAGTTGAGTAAGTTATTGCAATGTTTGCTCTGATAGAGACGACAATGTCGCGTCAGCATGTCGGTTATCACTCTGTCATTTTATTGAAAGTGTTTGGGGGAAGTAAGAAGGATGCGTTCTGGCTTTATTAAGTGTCTCCTGTGAGTGATATGTAAGGTGTGGCAGGTGTGGTGATATGCGCGATACAAAATCCGCGACTCCAGCTTCACATAGGACTGTACGTAACAGTAGACGTATTGTTATTCTACGTCATGTCATTTGTACATTTGCTTTATTACGCTGGGTGATTTATACCTTCGCCCGGTGCGTTTAACTGCTGAGGTCTGTCATTTCGCCGTCTTAAATTGAGATTGATCCCAGGGAAGGGTGGGTTGACGTTTACACTGACGTGACTCGAAATTGTATTTTTGTTTTATTTTTTGTTATTTGCTGCTTACTTGGTACGTTGACGGCTATGTGTATAATGTACATATATTATGCAAATCAGATCACTACTACAATTTATTTCATTCTCGCGTACACATGTTAGGTTAAGAATTTTAACCTACCAAGAGATTTTGATCGGGACTTCTCAGGTAACCGGTTCTAGTGCATACCTAATTGGACAACAAAAGGTATATTCGATGACTTTCTCCTACACTATTTCTAACGTCTCGATGCGGTACGACTAGTAAATAACAAACATCAAATAGGATTCGAACCCGAGTCTCACGGCTCGGATAACCAAGAGATGCGCATTGAAACTTATCGGATCAAGATGTTTATAAGATATTTTTCGTGTGGCATACCTGTTCTATAGATCTGTCATATGAAAATATAGTCTTGTGTTAAAAAATTCGTAGATATTTAAAGTACGCACTAATTATATAATATAAAGCATGATTAAGCCTATAAGTGGTTTACACTTACCAGCCATAAGCGTCAGTTGAAAAAGATCTATACATATTAAATAATGGTCTCGGTGGTCTAGCGGTTTAACACACCGCTTTACATCCGATCGTCGCGGGTTTGATTCCTCGCATGGTGCAAACATTTGTATTCATGAGTATGATTGTATCAGTCTGGGTGTTTCTATGTATGTTATATATGTATTTAAAAATATATATATCAGATGTCTTGTATATCCATGACACAAGCGTGATTTATATAGATGTGTGATTTATATAGAAATGTTTATTTATTAATGGAAAAGAAATAAAGCATAATAACTGACAAATTAAAGTTGTTCTCGTTTGATGTTGATTAAAAACAATTTATTTTGTCATTGTTACAGAGAGGCTCCGACGAGCTTCTTTCGCAGAGTGGCGTCACCGTCATGGCGCCCGCCGCTCCGCATCACGCCGACAACAATAACCAGGACTCAGCTGCGAAGAAGGTACTTCATTTAAAAACTACTATTTAACTGCATTTCTAATTATTTGAAAAATAATCTAAAATGTCAAACAACCTTAATATTTCTACTCAGGTGTGGTACTACCCTCAAAACTGGTGTAATTTGTATGAACATGTCATGGTGAAGATTAATTTCTAAATTATTAGGATTTAATTTTTTCTTTTATTTATATAACTACGGTGGTAAAGAAGCAAACGGCCTATCTGATGGTAAATGGTTACCGTAGTTTATGGACACCTGAAATACCAGGGGAGTTACGTGTCTATTGTCTAGATAGACTATTATACCATATCTTTCAATCGACAATATATTTCATATAGCTGAATAACATGTATCTATTATATATTCATCAACAATTTTCTATTTCCAAATTAATATACCTACTTATAATAAGAATTCAAATAGAACTTTGTTTAATCTACATATGAATGTTTTTCTACGACTAATCTTAATATATCAATATGAAGCAACTGGATTGATACTGTGCAGTAGTGTGTACGTGATACATTCCCGTAAAGCTTCCATGATAAATCGTTTAGTCTCAGGAGTCATGTACACCTATAACTCATCAAAACGATACCTTCTGCGGAATAAATAACATACTACTCTTATTTAAACTCGGCTTTAAGCCACATGAACTTTCCGTCTTTATAAATTCTATAACCAGTTGAAAAACTTCTTAGAAACAAAATAAAAATATAAAAATGTGTGATTTGTATTGAATGTTCAATATTAGCAGCTATTTTCAATCTCAAAAATATACTTCTCTGATAGCATAATTAATCGAAAAGCGATTAATGGCTATGAAACGATAAAACGACGAAATCGCGAAACCGAAATAAGTATTAAAATAAAAGGTCCCTCATAAAAAGCCAACGTGCCATAAAGGGGCTTCCCCAGAGGCTTCGAAGGCCAAATTTTTATTAATCTCTACCCTGACCTGGCGATATTGAATGGATTTTTACGTAATACATTGAATCAAAATTGAATTGTTAATTTTCAGCAAATGAATTCTTTTAGATGTCCCTGATTGACAATTTCAACAGATTCTTTTATTAAAATTATGCTAGTATTAAAATATCTTACTAGATATTTGTACAAATATAATTTTGGTTTTGTTTTCAATTGTACATAGGGGGCCTCTTATGTTACAATGTATTTTTTTTAATTTCATCTCTTGAATAATATCTGAACTACGTGTAAATATAATATATCAGTACATATGCACGACGTATTAGATAATGTCATGTATGCAGTACATAAAGATATAAAGTTGCACCTTAAATACATTATGGTAATAAACGTAGATGTAAATTTCAGATGTATGTTTCAATGTTTATTTTTAAATAACATAAACGAATACTCCCGTACAATTCTGAAAACACGAGATAAATTTACATCAAAAGAACTTCCATTATCTTACTTTGTTGAACATTCTCCTTTCACTGGGGGTAATTTATTAGGTTTGCAACAAGATATTATTTTCTATCCGGTTATAATGTATGACATTAAGTCAATATCTTTTATTGTACTGTTTGTTTTCACTTCTAAAACAAAATTATTGCTCGGAATGAACTTTCAGATTGTTTTATTTTCATCATCGCACAACTTACATACGTCATATAACTTTCGCATATTTGCGGAGTAATCCCAGACAAACTTTAGTTAGATTGAATTCTTAATTTGCTCTAGAGGTTTCTATATTATCTGAATTCGTACATGTTGCAATCATTATCTTGTGTAACTTAATTATAACTTCATTTTCATTGTTGTTACGGGTATTGTTTGAGTCAAGAGTTATATGAATATCGTATTATTACAATTCGTCGCGTGTTTGAAATTGTATATAGGTATCCTTATGGGTAATGTAAAGGTAAAAAACCTTTATAAAAATAAGCTTTTAGTATCCATAATAAAATAAATGAGAATAAGTCCGACTGTCCATTATGCGTTATTAAGTTCCGCTGCCCGCTATCCACTTTCCAACTCTACGATCAGACTGTGGTGTGTATTCATTAACTTGAGTACTAATGAATAATATAACAATTCTCTTTCTCATACTCTTGTCGCTGTACCAGACTTGTCCTAAATGATATTCAATTGTTGAATGTCTAAAAGCTGAGTGTTCTATGTTGTTACAGTACTCTCATATGTTTGCCATTTAGTTTCAAGATTTCACATACTATTTAGAATGCAAATGAATCGTTGTAATATAATATAATCACCTTGACTATTCTAGAAAATATTTTATTAATTATATAATACATATTTACACGTACCTTTATGTAGGTTTTATTATTAAGCATGTTTTATTTTTATATTAAAAAGATGGGATAAAAATACACGTTTATTTTTCACTGCTACATTCATCTTTTCATAATTGATGTTTGTACCTTTACAGAATCGCATTGAAATACCAACCATCTGAAACACTAAAAGATAGAAAAAACCAACCTTCCTATTTTGTAAATATCTTTTGTATAATATCCTTGGCTATCATTTACGTAAATTAAATATAAATGAAGCATCTCGCCAAAAAGGTACATTTTTTTTATTCTTTCCCGCGGGCAGTTTATTCTTCCTCTGTCAACGGTCATTATGTCACAGCTCATATTATAGAGAAACGATTATTATTTTATTCAGAAAAAGCTACTAGAATTATATCAAATAGATTACCATTATATCAAATAGAAACCATAGATTCTATGGAATTATTAAATATATTTTACACTACGTACATTGTAAAAAAATATTAATTACATTTCACTGAATAAAATAGGGTAACGTTTTAGTTCAGTATATCTACATTTTGCCGACCTTACTTGCTAGAGTCGACCTAAAAAAACCTCACCGCAGTAATCTTAATTACATTGTGATCTCGTTACAGTCCGGCCTTAATTCATAATTAAATAGGGACGTGTCCCTGCGTCGCTTATTTATTTGCTATTTTATGGTTTTGCGATTCTGCCACCTTTTTTTCGCAGCGAAAATTTAGGCACTGGCATTTTTGTGACACCCCTTCTTCTTTGTCGCTCTGAATATTCATTTAGAACCCATCGGCGGAATGGCGAGTCGTTTTTAAAAGTATTTTTTTATGTCCTCTCTTTGTGTTGTTCGGCGAGCACCTCTTTCTATGAAAATATTGAAGGAAAACACTGAGTAACCGTTTTTACAAAATGTTTTATGAGACGAGCTTATCTTGTCATGAAAATCTTTATATTTTTTAATAATAACCACACAGATTTATGTATTTCTACTGAGCAGACAAAAATACTTATGCGGTTGAAGCTACTGCGGACAAAACTTAATTTGCCTCCAAAACTTCCTTAAGAAGAAGAAGGTCTGCCCCCGTCACTCAGTTATACAGCGGCGTACAATCAAATGACATGGTTTGACAACTGACATCCCTGACAACTGACAGGTCGTATTTTAATAATGGAATGTTTTCACTTAACGAATACCGTATCAGAGCACGTCTGTAGAAAACACACTAATCAACCCTCGTCCTCTTTGACCGGGTCATTAATGTCCAAATAAAGTAATTAATTATGTTCCCTGTTTTTTTTCCCCTCATTTTCCTCTGACGTCGGCTTGTAAAAACGTAGAGGGCCCAACGCCGTGAAGATCAATCAAATCAGAGGATGGTGCGAAGGGGCTCCGCGTTTACCACTACTTAAGCATTTACGAGGTTGTCTTTCGGAGTTACGACTCTGCTTGCACAGCTTGACTGTTGTTCTTTCTTTGTCGGGGACAAATTGTCTTTTTTACTTATTCATCGACGTAATCCTATTAAATACCTTTTTCAACCTCAGGTACTGGGACTTTGCTTGTATTAAATGATGGATTTATACCATTATTTATTTCTTATGACTTAAGTATCTACAAATAATTAAGTTAGAATGTGTCTATATAAATAATTGTTTATTAAATAATATATGTTGTTTAATGTTCCAATATAGAATACGCTATATATATTGGTACATCAATATACACGTATTATATCAATATTAGTGGGAGTCGATGTAAGTAACCAAGTGGCACTAACTTACCTAATATCGAGCAGTGTAAACGAAGCAGTTTGCAAGTCCGATAAAGTTATAACCAACTATCCGTCTAATGTTAATAATGAAGTCACTCGATTCCCATTTATCGCTTTTGTTCCAAGTAAATTCGGTAATCAATCAAATAATGTCATAAAAATATTCATTGGTCGGGCACTTACTATTTTATGGCTAGTTTTAGGGCTACTAAAACCATTTGGCCATCTTATTTTACGATTTTCTACCGCGTCCACGCGAAATGTCTTTCCTAAATAAATACTTATGAAACAAGTAATTTAAAACATTGTTTTGGTGTGTATCGACGTCATTCTTTTTTAAAATATTTTGATATTTATTTTGTAGAAGAGTAGGTAATTAGTACATTTTCTAGAAGACTTTCGCAAAACATGATTCATGGGTAGATAATTAAAATACAATAATATGATATACTATGAACGAAGAACTTTTATGTCCTGTGCTGCTATAAACAGGTAATGTATCTTTCAAAGGGAGAATGTTTTTTTTACAAATAAATATACTAGTTCTGGAGACTTTTCATTAAAAGAAAGTTACAAAACTGTTCGTAAAAGGGAGAATCCCTTTGTAATCGGGAGTATAACTTTATAAATATTTTATGACAAGTTCGTTGAGTAGTAGTATTTTAAACAAGCTTAAGTTATGAAGCTATTCAGAGTTCGATAGAAAATCACTATTAAAAGTTTGTAGGGATAACTCTATTCTTATGCAAGAACGAATTAGCTCACCAAGCAATTCAAAAGTTAGTAGTAATGGCACGATTGTTTTTGCAATTTACCTTCTATTTTTTAGTTATTTTTATATCCTTATATTGAATTGTTTACATAAAATCCACACAGAAAGTTTTCCTTTAACATATCAAGCATTCCGAAACCGATATAATGATATATAGTCAATAATAAATAACTACATATTAAAAAGTTACGAGTTTTTCAAAACGAAATGATGTAATTGAAATCTAAGCAAACTTTCATACAAATACGAGGCAATCCGAGACATTTCTATCGGTACTTGTAATAAGTTTCCAATAGTGAATGATGGCTAGCAATTTAATAACAATATTCTACTGGATTGCCAATTAAAAGTTTCAACGGATCAGGCTTCAGCGATTTCTGGTGTAATATTACTCTTGAAATTTTAATAACCGATGCAGTCTGGGTTTGGTACAAACGAACAAGCAATGAAAAATATATGTATCACACACAATGTCAGTTTTAGTGTTTCTTCGCAAGATTGGAAAATCTTAACGGGAAATATTTTCGAAGCCAAAGGAAGTTTTAAATCAGAAACTTTACTGTTGCCTATAAATAAGACACTGAAAACACACAAAACACTTAATAAAAACTACATCTTGTAAAATATAAACAATAAGAATGAGAATCGAAATAATATCGGAAGAAAAATATCTATCTTGGGATGCAGTAAGAATACATCATATAATTACTTTAAACCAGTTGCGGGTTAAAGTAATTATATGATATATTCTCATGATGTAGCAAATAACACACATATTAATACAAATAGGAATAGGAAATCTGACAATATAACCCTATGAAAGTAATTTATTTATGTCCTATATGTATTTATTAAACGTGGTTTCTTAATGTTTATTTGGTATTTTATATTTCGCTCGTAACAGCTATATTAATTACGTAAAAACTTTTCCCTGTGGTTTCTTCCAAGCGCTGTTAAAGTTGTTAAATTCACTTAAAAATAAAAGTTGTAAAACTGCAAATTTTTCTAATAAATTTAGATCATTTAATGGTGGAGTTCAATTTCGTTGAATTTTATAACTTGTACCGGCACTTGGCAGTCGTCAAACTTTCACTCTGTTGCTACACTAACACGAACGCTCCACTAGATCGTGTTTGTTATTAGTTCAAGGATATTCGAGTTGAAAAACTTAAGCATTCTTGGCATACTTTAAATTAAGTTTCATATCACGTCTCTTAACTCTATATATTACAATCATGGGTAATATTATTTAAATACTTATAATTGTGCTAGTAAATAGTACTTTCCCATTGTTAACATTGCTTTTTAAAATATTCTAACTGAGCGACTTAGTATGTGACAGACCTTATTAAAAACTTCGCGTCCACGATATCTAATGACGTCATAAATTTATTGATATACAAAAATATCACGCCTTTAATATTTTACGCAACTAATTGAAACGTACGTTTCTAAATATAATAACTTTATATGACATGCGTCAATTTTGTTACATGCGTTTACATTACAAAATCTTAAAAGCATCGTGACACAGCGTATTATTAGCCTGATTAAAAAAACTCAGTGATATAAATCTGACCCAACTTTGTGTCAGTTTAAATTTCCAACTCAGTTCTCCGGTAATGTAAAATATCATTAACTTAATGAATCCCTCAAACTGTTGTAGGCTTGCCCTGCTACTTCTAACTCTAATTTATGACAGCAACGTTAAATCAATAAAATATTCATACTTTAATAATGCCCAATAATGTTCATCAATTTCCTTTCGTAATTCTTACAACAGTAACAATGGTAATGAATTAATGGTAGAATATTCTGACTCGTCTTTTAAAATTTGTCATATATAATATCCTAATATTATATATGACAAATTTTACCCGCCTTATTATATTAGCAATAATAGCTTCGTACGGGTATACATGTCTTATACATAAACCTTCTGCTTGTATCACTCTATCAATTTCTAAAAACTGCATTAAAATTAGTTGCGTAGTTTAATAGATCTAAGCGAGTAGACAAACGGAAGCATCTTCATTTTACACTATGTAAAGATTATACTCGTATTTCCATTATAAATTTACAAACATAGCGGAATCTGTCCAGTCTCTGTTGGTAATAACATAATCTTCGCTGGTATGTTTATTTACTGTCTGGTAACTGGTAGGTAAATCCTCCTTCGTTCGGGCCTACACGCTACATCTCGGCCGACCTGAATGCCACAAGCGGATTACATTTCGTCTCCTTGCGGATGTGAGCTAGTATTTTGTCAAGATTGTATAATGATACTTATTGTATATCGTACCTCTATAGTCATATATACGTTTACATTGCAATGATTTGTTGTAATGTATTATATATTTTTTTGTATATATACATATATATATATATACTTTACGTACTTACTTTACTATACGTTATAGATAAAAGATTGATTAAAATTACAAAATTATGCACCAATTACATTTTATCCGTTGTTATCATTTTTATTTAGCTAAATAAAGTTGAGAAAAATATCCCGCGATGGAGAATTTTATTAATTAATGCATTAATCAAGTACTAAATATTTCATTTTGTGTTGTTGTTTGATCACCATCAAAGAGTACATGAATTATACGATATTCAATTTATGTAACATCTGTTTATTTCTAAAATAGCAGCGCATCAAATACCAAAGTGATATTTAAATATTATTTATAAGCAGAAACTTAACTTAATGAACTTAAAGTGAATATAAGTACTTTAATTATTTGAGCTATTATACACTGGTTACGTATAATGCGTATCAAAGATTAAAGCCATTCTTTCAATTCGTGCATTCAATTAACGCCTTTGTATATAGAACCCACCGCCAATTATACTCAATCACGGGTAAGATGAGCTTAGATAAAGGAGGCAGTTTAGGTCTATTCTATACTTATAAGTGAAAAATTATTACACTGCTAAATTTACTTTGTTGTCACTGCTAAGCGGTTTAAATTATTTATATCTTTATGGTAGTTGCTATAAATAAATAATGATCCATAATTAAAAGGCGTAAAGTTCGAATATAACCAAAACAACAAACATTACATTTTGTACCTTATTAGCTTGTAAATTACGTTCCTTCTTATATACTTCTGGTGTACAATAAGTGTTTAAATAATTTATAAAATGAACCTTTTCATCAACTCTTCATGGCAATATATTGTATGATATAGATGTACACGTAGATGATATGAAATATATCTTGCGCAGGGGGAAAGAATATCGCAGGGTCATTAACACGGCCCACAGATGATATAGTTAATGACGAAGCGCTACGGAGGCGGCCAACTGAGAAATAGTGTTTCAATAAACACGGCCGGCGCGATCACCAGGAAAATTGACCGATTCCAGGAAATCCTCGCAGGAAAATGTCATATAATATCTCTTTTTTTCTATCCCGGCAACCAAGCCAAGATTTAATATTTATGGATGAAATGTGAGACGGAGCGGATGATTTAAAGTGCCTGATGTGGAAATCGTTCCTCGCAGATTTTCTGACCCAGCGAAAGTAATGTCCTCCTTTACGTTTTACGTACCAGTTGTTTTCTTTCGCGGGAAGAGAAAATACCGAAAGGTGCTCTCGAGGTGGGTGAACATTCCGCGATTTATTTCTCCCTTTGCAACGGTATAGTAAAATATATACGTATATTTATTTGAAACATAACGGTTTGGCTCTTTTAAAACCGAAATTCGAAGCGCATATTTAACTGTTCTGAAATATTACTACATATATTTGTTCAAATATTTTTTTCGTAATGTTTTAAAAGTACATTTTTAATATTGTAAACGTTACGAAATGAGATAATTTTTTTTATTACTAAGTTTATTCATTCGTCCTTTTCCAGTTTAATTTTTGATCTATCCTAATATAACTTTAAACATAGTTTACTTATGAATATCTTTACCTTATCATTATCTTCTTAACTCATAATGTAATATATACTATACGTAAAGTTAATATTGTTTTATAAGTAAAGAGTAACGTAAAAAATATATAACAAAACCACAGTATCTGGCTAATTACATTAATATTGACAAAGTAACAATAGCGACAAAGTCACTTGATGTTTCGACATTTCCTTCAATCTTACCTCAGCCTGTTTATCTGAACTTAACAAGGTCGAACTAATAGGCATTAGACTCATTTGTTACACTTCCACGCTTCGGCGCTCGCTACGGAACATAAAAAGGAGGAATAGATAGTTTACAAGCCCTCAAATCTTGTCCGACAAGAAAGCTACGAGCTTTGTAGTTTCCAATATCTTGTTAATGGGATTACTTTTATGTAAGAACATTTTATTATTCTCTAAAACAGATAGCTTGTTATAATACTTTATATAGGTATAAGAATTGGAACAAGCGCAATCATTTTATCGACACCAACTGAAACAATGTCAACACGCATGTTGCTCTTTTCACCTCGGCAGAAAGTGAATTTCATACAGAGCAACAATATATTCGGGCCACGGTTCGGCCCGCCGCCGTAATCAAAAGGCTCTCTAGGGAACAATGGCGCCCACATCGGGGCTGGGCCCGATAAGCCTCGACAATTATACTACATCGACTTTTCAATTATCCAACTGGCTCTTCCTCGCGAACAATGCTAGGTTTATTTATGTATATTAGAGCGGTCATTTTGTACGCCATTTAGACTCACTCAGAGTATCCCATGGATCTATAACGACCAGATGATAATGTAGTACTTCTCGATTTAAGAATTAAAAAAGTTTTCTACAGTATAATAATATTTATGTACGTATTTCTTTGTTTGTTATAGGTGAAACTGGAACAGAATGTGGGCAAGCCATCCCGAGTCATCCACATACGGAACATACCCAACGAGACGACAGAAGCCGAAATCATTCAACTCGGCTTGCCGTTCGGAAGGGTCACTAATGTACTCGTGCTCAAAGGCAAAAATCAGGTAAGAATTATCATATAACGACAATGTTTTTATAGCAAAATGCATAATGTTTTGTATTAAAACTGCTATATAAGAGATAGTTACAATAACCTCGTTCTACAATAAGTAGGTTAGGTTGCATAGGTAAACTCTCCGTAAATAGGCCGACCATTGTTTGTCCTCTGCCTACCTATCTCCTGCTTTATTTTGTATAATGTTAGTAAATGTAGATCGTGTAAACTACGGTTACTTTATCAATGTTTCCAACTTTAATTCTTTTTGTCTTCCGTTTAAAATTTTATTTACATAATATATTCATTGTTTAATGTAGGGTATATAATGATATGGTTTAAATGTTACTTTTTTAAAATAATAGATATAATTATAAAATGAATTGCTATATATAGACACTACTATACTGTATTTTATACTATAGTTACTATATATATCTAAATCTATTAAATGACCTTAACGCAAGATTGCATCTAAAATCAGATTTCGCGGAAATTAAGGGGACGGCGGTGTCTAAAATAAATTTCAATTCGGGTCGAGAGAACTCAATAAATACGTGTTTTCGTGTAGATATCTTTCAAGCAAATTAATAGCATCAAATTTCGTGGATATTGATTTGTTAATATTTATTTGCATAATATCATTATTGGTCTTAATCGTGTACATTTCTATATTTATTATTGGAAATAAATTGTTTATTTATTAATGATAAAAAATATATTCCAATTTAGATACTCATTTAAAATCAACGGCCATATTTACATTTTTTTAATGTTATAGAGATAGCTGATGTTGATTCGCAATAAGAAATATATAATTCACGTTATACTGTAAACATATATTTCTGCAACAGTTACTAATCCATCAAATGACATATCCACACCATAGGTCGAGTGTGAAGTACCTCGGGGTACGTCCAAACGGTTAAAAGGCGACATCTAACCAGTTTTACTGCGTACTTTACGTCGAAACTGCCAAGGGGCACGTGCAATGTGAAATTTACGATTTCCCGCTGACAAATTAAAAATGAGTTAGTTTACAACCGAGAAATAAAATAATAAAAGGAAAATCCTATTAAGGGAAAGCAGTCAGCACCGTCGGACGCCGCGACAATGTTATCCCTGCTAATAAATAGCCGGTATGACATCCACCCTCGTATATATCGTGGCGTGAAGGAAAACAATCTCTCTTCCAGCATGAGAAACAAGTCGAATCCCTTTTTATGAAAGGTCATAGCCATTTTGCTTACTTTTGTCTGTTACTTTTGTTTGAAATATTCAAAGATCTTCTTATGAATCACCGCTTTGCACAAGCAAGCAAGCAATGTTATTGAAAATTATTTTTTACGCGATGTTGTAATCAATTGCTTACAAAATAATTTCCTAATATGTATGGATTTATTTTATATTATATTCTTAATTGCGTGTTTTTTTTTTGGCTTATTTTAATCTAAAGTAATAAATAATAATAGTCTCTATTACCATATATTTAATCAAATAGAAGATAAGGTACTTCAATACATCTTATCGTATCACTTTATACTATTTTTATTTTTCGGTCTTTATATATCGGTTATTTACAATTGTACCAATTATGTAAATAGTCAATTGATCGAATTTATAATTTCAAAAAATCTCATCTCAACACTCACTTGTACTAAGCTAATAAATACATTTTTTCCTCTTATATATTTTGCATGTAGATATTGTAATAATTTATTATTATTACTGCTACATATTGTAGAATAAAATTACTATAATATACTTACATATATAAATTAGACTACAAACTACAAATCACCCTATATGTGATATTAATCAATGTAATGTCATTGATGCTCTTAGCCCTTTGTCGGGTCCCGAGAGGATGATGAAAAGCATCGTAGTTGATGGTAACCGAAGCTTGGGCCTCCGGTTACAAAGGCGCTGTCTGTCGAGAGATGGGCAAACAGCAATGTGAGTGGACGCCAACAATCGCCTCTACTCTCGGTGATTAAAACCGAAAGAGGCGTTGACACTATTTTACGATCGACACTCCCGTGACGGCGCTTTCATTCATTTGCGAAACATTCCAAATAACAGTTCGATTAACCAAAGTAATCTCTATTTCGAAATTTTAGTAAACATTCTACGTTATTAGAATATACCTATTCGAAGCAACATTGATCATTTACCAAACTCAAACAAGGACTGTAACAAAAGGCATCAATAACAAATTCGCTCTTGAAAACTTCTTCACAATTTAGAGAATCGAAGTACTTGTTACCTTATCAGTTGTTCCGTTCATTGTTTCTTGCTCTACCTATTTATTATTAAATAGAAAATTGTGTTTATAAGAATATTTAGAGAATAATTAATTTAGTACTAATATTTTCTCAGTTTTCCCTATTATTTTCAACTTTATTTACTGGTCCAGGAACTAAATACTGTGTTTTAATTCGCATCGCTGTATTTATGCTATATGTCCATAGTCGTCTTTGACGACATCCGGAGAATACTTGCGACATATTCTTTCCTGAATTCGTTAACACAATTATTATTTGTGCCTTCCTTTATATTCTATTAATAAACAATATTTATTTTGTTTTTCTAACTACTTAATAATAAGTTTACCTATGTTTTTGGTAGTCCAATATTTCACCCAATTGTCTATTTACACATTTGTTTGTTAATTTGCAGCAACCACATATTGTATTTAGTTTGTGGTTTCGTGTGCAATTTTAGTAAAATATACAGCGTATTTGGTTAGCATATTCAAATACCCAAAGCAGAATACAATATGATAGCTTATGCTAATTATTTTCAGATTAACAATGGGTACTACAATAGTGTTAGTTGTGGTATATTGAAAAACAACAGTTTTTTTCTTTATTTACTAGCTTTATAATTACCCAGTAAAGTAATAGTTAATAATGAATCCGTAACTCGTTTACAGAATGATTCAGGGAACATATAGGATAACTGTTGCGTCTTTCAACCGTTCAGTTTATTTATTGTATGATCGAGCAGGTTAAGCGGTTGTTACCGATTAATTGGGCTTCAAAGAACTAGGCTTCGTTTGAGAATACCCTTATTCGTTGATGATTAAATTTAATTTTCCAATTCATTTCTGTCTATATTCTTACATTATAACAGAATCCTTCAAATGCGTTCTTTAATACATAATTTAAATAAAATATGTTATAATACAGTTATAACGCTTGATAATTAATTTTTACATGTAAGGATAAAATAGCTTTACACCATGAACAATAAAGATTATATAAATATATAAATTTAGCAGGTAGTAAAATTATTAATTACAAAGTGTTTTAAAAAAATGTTTTAATGTTCATTTATTGACTTAAAGTCTTCTAGAGTTTAAGGTTAATATTTTATACTGATTTTATAAAATATTGTGTCACTTATTTTACCACGTGACCCTTGACTCATATTTTTACTACTATATACAAAATAAATGAAAAGACGTGCTCAAACGGTCAAAATGCGAGGCTAAACGTATACAAAAGTATGAAATATACAAATACAAGAATATCTACTAATTTGATAAGATAGTATATAACCTGATTTGGAATTAACTACTGAATACTGATTTCTTTGTTTATCAGGCATTCCTCGAGATGGCGGAGGAGATATCAGCGGTGGCCATGGTGGCATACTTCGGAGGGTGCGTGGCACAATTGCGCGGGCGCGCGGTCTACGTACAATTCTCTAACCACAAGGAGCTCAAAACAGACCAGACACACAGCAACGCCGTGAGTGCCTTGCCTCATTCAATTGTATGAATATTGTATATTTTGCTTTGTTATACTGTTTTATTTTGTAAAATTAGCTAAGTTTTTGTGGAATGATGCACCCGCCTGCGCTGACAGGTTACGTTGGCGGGGTACTAGTGCAGGATGATAGTAAATAGTTGAAGTCAGGTCAGTCAGCTCATACTAGCTAATTTACCAGGTTCTGGTCTTCCTGAACGGTTCTTGAACCAGGTGGTTCAAGAACCGCTTAGAGGTCGAACTGATAAGATATATTACTAGGGTTACAAGATTCCACTACTAATCCCATTTAATTTGTTCAAATAAAACCTTTAAGTTTATATCATCTTACTGTTTGTAAGCGGTTGTCGTAACTTTTAACTCATTGGTGCTAAGACAGAACCAGAAATATTACGAGAATGTTGCGGACATTTACAGATACTAACTTTCGTTCCATGAAAGTCTGAGGAATACAACACTACAAAGTAGTGTTATTTGACTATAATCGTTCTTAAAGCCCACCGCCTTCGAATAAACGACCACAGTCAAATAATATCCCCTCTTTAAGTCCTTGTTGGATAGTTTCACTTTACGACCGAGTAAAGTGTATGTCACTATACCTATTTTGATATGATAGATACTTTCAAAGAGCAAACACTAAAATTCAAACGCAGTCATAAATGTATGTAGATTTTAATGGAACTCGGAAACTGTACGCGAAAAGATATTCGCGACTTTATCCAGGTAATATTTTTACTAACATCATATCGTCGTTTAAGTACAATTTAAGCATAAGTACATAAGAGCACTAAAGCGACAATAACATTTGCAAGGATGATAATTGAATTTGATAATTTACCCTATAACAATAACACAAATACATTATTTGTGTTAGAACATGAGCATTATTATAATCCCTAATGAGCTATGTTTGTTTCAATGTACAATACGTAAATTGGAATTGCGGAATCGAGCTCAAATCGTGTATTCCCCGTTAATAACGTAACGATAGTTCAATTAGCCCTATTACAACTCTACAAGCGGATTATCGTAGCGTATGCGATGGGGCATAAACTGGGGTTACCTATTGGGAAATCCTACCCTGTGGTCTGTACTAGACCTGTTAATTTAATCTTTGTTAGGGGCATCAAGAACCCATAATTTAGATAACAGTATTCAATAAACCAGGACAACGTGAGCGACTGTTGGGATTTGATTGAGTTATGAAACTACGACTGTTATATACATAGGTACAAAGTGCGTGACTCGCTTGATAATTTATTTAAAACTTTATTATTTGGTAATATAAAATTACGTCTAATGTCTATTAGTTTTATTATATGTAATAACGTTAAAGCTTTAAAATTAGGGTTATTAAGTTTAATAAATAAAATTACATAGAGTTAAAACCTCAGAAAGTTATTTAACATTATCGATCGAGGCAATTTTATCTGCCGTAGCCATAATTCAAAGATCTTTATTGCATGTAAATGTGCGGCCCATGTTGTGATTACTCAGGTGGCGTTGATCTATCACGGCTTGTACATTACTTAATGCTTGCCAATTGACATCGACAGACATCACATCGGGGAAATTAGGGCAATGGGAACACGAAAGTGCCATTTCAGAATCCGTAATTTAGTTCCATCAGATGCACAGTTTTTAATTAATTTCATCAGATTGCCGTCATCCAATGCATTAGTTGACAGGAAGCAACGTAGATACGTTTACTATAGATTAACTTTATCTTGTACCGTAAATAAATGTAGGTAATTGAACCAAATTTTTTGTGTTATTGGCATAACCGAAATGTAAATAATAATCAGGAAACTAAACATAGCTAAATATAGTAAATAAACCTTTACCAAACAAATCTTTTCCATTCTTCCTTGAACCTCGAATACGGGATAGTAATCAATATTTTCTGTAACAAAACACCCAATGGGAGGATTAATTAAAACGCTTAATTAGTTTCGTTTATCCAAGAAACCTATCAAAAACAACCCTCAGTCATCTGATGGCTGATAAAATCGAGTGATGAGAAATGGTACTTACCTAAATTCAAGTTAGTATAGTCAAGGACTGTGGCACTCAAGATATTCAAGGGTTCTTTTGATTAGTTAAGTATAAGAAAAGTAAATAGTTCTAATAATTTAATATACAATGAATAGTTTTGTTTATATATCTAATAGTGAATGAATGATATACTACGACTGATATATATATATTACTGTTTGTGTTTAATAAATAGCAATAGTTTGTATGATCTAATTGTCAACATGTGCAAACAAGCGTCTCAGTCAACACTATGGCTAATTAATGTGATGATCAAACTGAAAACGGATACAACTAGGTGTCTATTATCTGTTTAACTAAATCAGTGTGTTCCGTGTATTTATATAATTACTATCGACCTACTATTGTTAGAGCTTTGAATTACATCGGCAAATGAAATTAGCTGTTGTCAAAGATTTATTCAAACCTTATATTAGTAGTATTTACATAAATATTGGACATATTGCAATGTTGAGATTAATATCTGAAATAGAATTCATAAAAACTATTAATTTTGTACTATTAAATTAATAAATGATAATTATGTATATTTTCATATAATCTGTGTAGAGAACACAAATAACAAATTGAGTTTGTCAATTTATATTACCTACAAGTTCTTTTATTCACCTACTTTTGTATATTATTTAACAATAATAAAAGTTTTTAAGTCTGCGCATCTGTGTCTTTTGCCACAAAGACTACATAACAATCTACTATCAGATTTTTATCAAAGATATTCTGCTTTTATTTCTTTTGTTAATAATATAATTATATATAAAAGATTTATTATGGAAATTATTATTTAATTACAATGTAGTTATCTTAGTTATTTATATGAATTGACAAAATAGAAGTACAATTTTGATTCCGTTAACAATTCACAAGGGGAAATCTGTGCTAATAGTCACGTCCTATAGTGGACTTAATCCATTATGGCTGCGCCGATTTAGGGTTCGTTGTTTAGTAAATTGCTGGGCCCTCGCCCCAAAAGACCTCTGATCCCCGATTTAATTTCAAATCATCTTCGTCTCTTAGAATGTGGTAGGTACCATTATTTTAAAGGTAATGTCGTAATCGTAAGATCTTAAATATTACAATTAGATACCGCTTGAACGCTATCATTGATAGCATATTTCTGGCAAGACCGCAAAATAAGATTTGCATTATCATTCACTGCCGAGTGATAATGTAAGGATTCATGCATAGGTGTTTTTCTGATTAAATAATTTCGACGTTGGTTTAGATAACTAACCGAAAACATTAGAAAGGATTTCTTAATATTTTTTTTTCTATACAACCTGGGCTATTAATGGGTACTATACAGAAATTAGTATAGTAATACATATTTGCAAAAATCTGATATATTTCAAAGTCTAATAAGTATAGAAACTTTGAAGTTTGTGTAGTTAGACAAGAACTAATGATCTTTCATCCGGTAAAGTCTAATAATAATTCTTACAACTAGGGATTCAAATAAAAGTTGCATTGATCATTCAATAGCCAGATGTCGTCTAATTTTATTTACATGTTTCTGGTTTTTATTTTATATCCATTTACCTATTTACCTCGGAAACTTAATCTAAGTTACCCTTATAGCCTATTATAGTTACTTCTGCATTGCAATATTCTCGTTCATTATAAATATCTCTTTTAATATTCAATATTCTACATAATATAATTTCTAGATGTCTTTATTTAAAGTAAGCGATATTATCTCAATACAGATTATTCGATGAAAAGCAGATGTACAGCGTGCGTCTGTCATCCCTGTTTCCTTCCCGTACCTTATAATGATGTGACTCGTACCCTCCCGCCAACATCTCGTTATCATTATCGAGGATTTATCCCTTGTATCGCTATCAGACTGCGATGCTTTATTTTAAAATTTCTATGTTTTTTGCTGAACATTCTTTAGTCTACTATTGTACCTAAAATATCCATATCCATCCATAGAATATCCATGTCCTTTTGTCATAGTATTATTTTTTGATCTATAAACATTATGAATTGAAATTTAAAATGAAACATAATATTAGCGATTTACTTTTTAACAAAATATTTGTTTATACATTTGTATATTATTATTATATACAACCATTCTTAGAATATTAAAAATTATTAAATGAAATCATTTGTTATTGAAATATTTGAACTTTAACCAAAATAGAGAAACAAATAAAGGGCAATTTATAAATTATTATATGACGTTGTAATGTATTAATTATTACAATTTTAAACCATATTCCATAAACCATTCTCGAGATAAATCTACTATGTCAAAATTTGTAAAAAAAAAATAAAATGCGTGTGTTCAAAGTCCAGGATGGCCAGAGCTTACAGTTAAAAAAATTACATACTCAGGACCGTAGAAGCTCGACTTTTAAAGAAATAAATACAGATGTGTTCAGTGACAATGATTTTATATCTGTTAAATTATTATTATTAATATCGAGACGATATAAAAATTAATAATCTGAAACGATTATTTCATGTTACATCGTTGCCACTGGTACTATTCTTATAGTCTAATTAGCCAATAGTTTGTTGTAATTAAGAAGTTAATTTAAGTTGGTAGTTGTATTAACTATTCTGAGATATCAAACGACGCCCTTACGGCGTTCTAACGATGGTACAAATTTATAATCTCTTTGTATCAATGGAACGCACTATTAAAACTTATAATGAGCAAGTTTTGAAGAATATTCACAGACTTTCAATACACGAATGTACATACGCTTCTTCGATGAAACCGTCTACCATTCAGTAAATTATGTTTGTCAAGATACAGAAATATAAAATTTGAGTTTCTTGCCAGATCTCTTGAACTGAAGTACCTAGCCGAGTTAGATGGTAGGGTTGAAAATAATCATAAAAAATTATAACTTCTATTTAGTATTGAAGCACAGTTCGTGTAGTAAAGAAGGTACTACGTTTCCTGAACTGGTCGATTATTCATTGCATTCTATGAGACGTTAAATGCAGAGCTTTGATCAATCATGCGACGCTACAGGTTTTTATGTAGTGAATGGATGGGGATCTCAAAGTACGGGCAAAGTTATTTTGTCGCATCGCCAACGTCGGTACTTTGCACGGCGCGCGGCGTCTGCCAATGGTCGCGGTGAAAGATTGCGCGTCCCGAATAAGACCTTTTAAATAACTCGAGAGTTCGCCGCGCCACTTGCTCTGTTGAGACGTAAAATATTTCAGATCGAATCGCATTCCAGAATGCTGCTGCGTGTTCCTTTCAGAATATTACTTATTTTGTTTCTTGTAGGGTTGAAACTGCTTTATGAGATGTAAGATTACTTTTTGTCTTTAATATTAATAATTACTACTATTAAAAGAAATATAGATATATAAACTTATAAATTTATCTTCATGAACAGTACATATACCTATATATATATGTATATATTATACTAATACTAATAGTATAAATGTACTTATTAAATTATTTCATTACCCTACAGTTGGTTTTTATAGTCTTTATTTCTTTCAGCAGCAATACTAAGCTTGTTTTGCTGTTGTACAAATTAATGAACATAAATTAGCATGAGAGATATTTGTTACATGCCGTATAAGAGTAAATAAGAGATAGCCTATGTCTTCGTATAATAAAAGTATTTTAGTTATATTATATTTTATTATTTCGTATTTATATTGTCTTACTAAGTTTATAGGCATTAGTCGCAATGTTACGCAAGTTAATGTCGATTCTATTTATCGTTAGTGAAACTTATATTTGATAGGTTTTCAGTGAATATGCCACCACCAAAGGGTACGGGAGAAGGGAGGCAAGTCAACCCGAATTTGTACCGAAGCCTTTGCCGTCGGCGGCAGGCTTACCATGACACGGTTAAAGCCTTATTTTTGTGTCTGGCCTGCCCGCTTGTCAAGCCGGCGACGAGTACAAAGCCATGTGAAAATATAGGATCAAAGTATGCCGGAGGCATACACATGAGCATCATAAAAACAGTGGCACCTGTTTGCTTGCTTTCTCTTTTAGACTAACTTGTCATATTTATGACGAAGACTATTCAGTTTATTTATTGTCTTGTACTTGTATCTTTTGGTAATAATTTTGTAACTTGTATATCGCCGGCCTATTTGTTATTGAGCAAATGTATATAAGTTATGAGCTAAGACGTACTCGAGGGAAAATTATAGGCATTTACAATACTTTTTTTTCATGTTTATTTTTAGTTGTACAAGTAAATTTGTACTTAGTTTTTTTTTTTTTGTTTTTAATTCGTTCATGTCCTTTATATGTTGGTGCAATAAAGTGTTATAATATAATAATAATAATAATAAATTATTATATACCTTGATTATTTAGTAATTTCACGCATATTGCCATAACTACTGCACGATTTTCAGCAGCATTAACAGCATGAGTACGGATTTGTGTCTATTAGTAGTAACTGTATCATTCCCCATTATTACTAGTCGATCCGTAGCTAAGATGCTTTGCGTTTAATAATTATGATAAATACTAGTCGTATATTAAATTCACTAATGAGGACTTATGCCTCTATCACAAATTGCACAGCTTAAAACTGACTTGTATACATATATTACAAGCATTACTGCGTTACAGAATTTATAGGTTATGATAAATATTTTTGTAAATTATTGTATATTTTGATACTCTAAATTTATATTTTGTAGTTATAAACTTAACTTCTAGTGAATGTTTCTGTGAAGGAAATAGTATTATTTATGAATAATAATACTTATTATTTTTTCAGTTACGTTTTCACATAATTTTCGTAATTATAGTTAATGCTTTAATAGTCATGCTCAATGTATCAAATAATCATAAATCTTCAGTACTTGTAGTCACAACCCGGTATTCATAAAAAACACTAAAATCCGTTAAAAAGTGTTATTTTCTTCACTCTATTTGCTTAATAGAATAGAATAATAAAACATTTAATCAAATAAACTTACATTGAAGTACTTTAACGAGTAAGAAACTTGCGTGTTGCTCTTTAAAATAATTTATCTGCAAATGTATATTTTAAAGTTAAAATGATGTTTGAATACACACTATTAAATAGTACTAATTCAATGGTCAACATAATAAAAGTACATAACCAACTAATGTTTAAGAAAATTCAAAACACTGTGAATAATACAAGTTCGCTAAAGTATTAACTCAACACACAGGATGTTATTAATATTATCACATGCTCTTAGCTTAGTGCCCGTAATGTCTCGTATTCTCGTAGCAACAACGTAGATAAATTATTCCCGGACGATACAAAATAAGTTTATGGGACCCCTTTGTTTGATGTGGTCAATGTTATCTGTCTGTGTTGGCACTCGAAGGTGGCCCACGCGTGCCAGATAACTCCCGTCTAGTATTGCGTCTCATTGTTTGGCAAGTTACGAGACCAGACGTTAGTTTTTGTACGTGACCATAAATGTTATATTCTCGGGAGAATGCCTTACAATATTGCACAAGCGTATGGCTCTTACTATGTTGTGGTACTGGGAAATAGAAAACGGTCGTGAGATCATACGTTATGCCACAAACATTAATTTTAGTACACTTAAAGGTTTTCCTCGTTGTTCCTTTTCCTAGTTTGTTTTATTAATTGAAACAACAATTCAAATGACATATTACAAAGTTATTACATTTATTTTATCTGAACCTTAAATAAAGTATATTGTACATTATAATAGGTTAATCTCAACCTTAAAGAAAAGAAATGAAACTAGTACGGTAATGGGCTATGACGATGATAATATAGATAAAGCTATGAGCTGCACCTAACAAACCCAAAAAGCTGACAGTACGGTGCAGTATAATATTAAATTGATGCTTTTAGTTTTAATATTATTAAAAACACATAATGCATCCGCAACATGTCTCTTGTAACTTTGATATCGATAACTGTAATTTGTGACTAAAAAATATTTAAAAATATACGTTTTATAGAATAATATTGTTTCTATGGTTTTTAGTTCCGTAAAATATTACATTATGTTATTTTTGTTCTAGTCGGCGTCGGCGCAAGCGGCGTTACAAGCTGCACAGGCAATATCAAACAGCGCGGGTGCTGCGCTCGTAGCCGGCGCCGGCGCGGCTCTGCAACCGGCGAACGGTGGCACAGAAATACAGGTACGTTTACATAAAGGTACATATAATATAATATTATAATAATTTATTTCATGTAAAAAATCACAAAATACAGGATGCCCATACCTTTAAAACCAATTTTTGTACAACACTTTACTATTTATTATTAATAGTTCTTTATTAGTAAACCTTTTAGTTCACAGAAAATTCGATTTTGTACGAAGACTGTTATAAAGATGAAAAAATATATCGGTGAAATAAAAATTGTTGATGTATATATAGTACACTCTATTTGCTATAACAAAAAATTGTGGTCAGTTTAAACAAATAACTAGATATTGTTTTCAGAATCACTATATTAGAGCGGGGTGAATTTAATTGTCGTATTTAGTACGTGTATAATGCCTATTGCATTACTGTTGCTAGCTGTAGATAGGATTAAATTTAAAACATAGTAATAGAAGGTACTACGCCTGTAAAAGCTTATTACAATTATTATAAAGGTTTTATATTACGCTATAAATGTATCTTTAATAATGGTTTTAATACAATATTAACACATATTCCTGGTTCAAATTTTGTAAGTAATATTTTTCATATTATGCAACGTGTAAAGTCTAGAGCGGTTAATATTACTTTATGTAATACAAGTTCGTAATAAAAGTTTCAATAGCCCATCCAAATTTGTTAGTAACATTTTTGCAATTTTAGCACATATTCCAAATTTATAAAATATTTAGGCAATAGAAGCCGAAGATGTTTCATAATGATTCATTAGTGATATATCATAATTTTAAATCATTATCAATATATTGATAAATCCTAATATACATAATTTTCTTATAAATGCAATAAATTAAACGGTTTTATGTTCTATTCACAATAAATATCTTAACTTACTTTATAACAAAACATTAAATACCTTCCATTATTAGCTACGAAATTCAAACTAAAACCACTAGTCCGCTTAGTAGTAAGCAAAGCTGATTACAAAGGCCACCTTAAATATTACCAACTTCCTCTCGAATAAGATTTGTGAATCCCAGGCGGTTACAAAGACTAAGACGACGGACGGTAACTACGTATTGTACGGTGCATACAATGATAGGTTAAACAGCGATCGTTAGATGTCGCCTGGGGCTGAACTTACCTAACGGGACCAATCGCTCAATTTGGTTATACTGAGTTTCCTCTAACTACACGGAAATATAATATTTTATATTACTTCTGATACGTAAAACCTTTATAAAATATATCGAAGACAAACTTAATTGTATACATATATTTATTATACAGTGAGTTGTAAACATCCATGGACACATCATGCGGCATCTAGGTTAAAATTTTCAATGTAAAAATGTTAGAACTTTGTTACAATGATATTATAGACCACTGGTATCATTATTTGGATATTCTCAGTTTATTATGACAAGGTACGAAGGTGTTGTTAAAGTCTATTACTTACTCGATTTGATTCTCTTTCCGATTCGATTTCATTTTCACACAAGATCTATCTCGCTAAATAGTTATTACTACAATTATGCATCGTAACGAATCATATTTGTTTACAGGGTGGTCCTAACACGGTACTGCGAGTGATCATAGAGCACATGCTGTATCCGATTGTTCTCGACGTGCTTTACTCTATCTTTCAGCGATATGGAAAGGTGCTCAAGATTGTGACATTTACAAAAAATAGTAAGTGCTTTGCTATATGTAATTTTTAATACTTTTTAAAATGGGTATTTTCGCAGCCCTGTATATGAAATATACTGTTAATTATATAGATACAAAGAGACGCCTGTGTTAAAATTATCTGCAAACAGTATCTTTAAACAAAATTACCATCTAGGTCTACATAATAAAATAATAAAAAGACAAAGAAAAGAACAGTTTTTAAATTCCACGTCATAATATTAATTTGTATTGTCATCAATTTGCCGTGAACACTTATGTTGCCAAACAATAAAAAGAAATGAAAGTTGTCGGTCTCCTCCACTCTACCTTATCCCGGAATAAGGAAGCATCTAAATTGAAATTAAATATTATTTTATTTTGATATGATATTATATTACGTACAAAGTTATAAAACATTGCAAACCTAAAAAAATCTAAATATGAGCCGTGTGCGACGCACATAATTGATTCGCACTAATTAAGTGCGTTATTCGTAATTGGATAGCTCTCGGTGAGCTTTTACAACTGCCTTAATGTATTGACTAAATCTTGCAGTATTACAGTGACTAAAATAACTATTAATAAATCAAATTGAAGCGGTCTTTGAAATTAATTTCGTTCCGGCGTGTTATAGTGATAGATTTACCAAACATAACACAGGCCGAAAATCCAAGGGCGCAATCCGTTTAAAATTTAAATCGTACCCTCATGCATATCCTAAATAAATCCGGCAGCACATAGGAGGCAGGTAGGTAGGTAGTAGGTACATATTTGATAAGCTCTCGGGCCCGCGGGCTGCGCGGCGTGCTGTACTGCTCACTCTCGACTAATTATACTGGTACACCTAGTGGAGTACCTCGAATCAACTTTATTTAAAACCCCACCGGACACTGCCCTCTCGAGAGTATTCCAGCGAATAAATCTCGCTGAAAAATGATACACCTAGAATTATTTTTTATGAAAACCTGAATATTATCCAAATGATACGGCTGATGGAGTTACTTGTAAATATATGTTTCCTAGTTATAATTTCAAGAATCTGAAATCATGTCGGTGTTCTCGATATATTAAAAAAATCGTAGTTTTCAAATTCAATAAAATATCGTTCAAAGATTTAGTAATATATAGAAAAATATCTTTCGAAAAGAAAAAAACGAAAATTTATTTCAAAACATGTAATTGAAAATACACGTTCGCTGTTAATTGAATAATTATTTTATTTATTATGTATACAGCAAATACTGGTCTGTGAAAAATTTTACTCTATTACCACTACAGTACTTTTTTTCTGTTACATTCCTAAATACTTAATAAAGATGTATGGAGGTACACAATCAGTTTCGTCTAAAAATAGTAAATTAATGTTGACTCTCATTTCATTGACTATTTAAATTGGCTCATCGATTTCCTCGTTTAGATCGAGAATACATGCCGTGAGCTCCGCTCTCGGGAGTCGGTACACAGATCAGGAGCGCTCATAACTTGTCGGTATCATGACGGCAACTCCACTAATGCAGTATTTCCAATTTCCGAACGTCTCTCCCGACCCCGTGCTACGTACGTACGGTTGTTTGCTTTTTACCACATTCGTCATTGTCCAATCGTATATATCATTATCTATCTTTGCGGTTACAATTCTATGACGTTAGGTTTGTTTTTCATTTCACATGATATATATGTCTTATAATATTGTACAAATAATATGTGTGACATTAAATAAGGAAAATATTGGAGTTCTTTACATCTTTGTTTTATTTTAAAACATACAGATATTATGAAGTTGATACCCGTTTGTTCGGTCAAACTTTTTATGTCTATTTATATTTTCATACTTCTAGATCTTATTACTTAGATTTCTCTTTTCTATTTTTTTCACTTTGTTACAAAAATACTTGTACTACCTCTACCTCATACAAACTTGTATGTACCTGGTATTACGGTAGAAAATTTTGTGTTTCTTGGTACCTACAGTCTATCCAATTTGCGTTGTGTGTATTATTATTTGATTCTGTATCTTTTCGTAAGATAATTATTAATATTGAATTGAAAGTTTATCAATGTAACATAATTTTATTGCTAATAAATATTCAGAATTATAATGGACAACATGAAAGAAAAAAGAATTTTAGACAAAGGATACAAAACACTAAACAACCAGATGAAAGACTAGATACTTTTATCTCCTTTCCGTCAATTCAAATTTCGTATGTTTGACAGTGATGGATTGTGGTATAAATTATGCGAGGTTTATTAATGTTATAGAGACGGGTAGATCTAGAAGTACATATATTAATATTAATGCCTTATTTATGTGGTATTTAACTTTAACATATTTGTTCAGTTATATTGTTATTTTACGTACTGTTTTTCGTCATTGGAAATTGTTCGTTTTTGTTTCGAAGCCCATACAAATAAATAATAAAAATATATTGTAAAATAGTATACATACTGCTTTAGGAAATTTTAAATATCGGTATTTCAACAGTTAATTAGCCTATATAACATAGGACCTTCTATATTTTTCATAAATGGTATGAAATTTTATTTATTTTTCTATCAGTTACCTATTCAATTCGTCAATTTTGTAAAATGTTTTTTTAATTTGTATGTTTCTTAATAAAAATAACTGTCTACCAAAAATTAAGTCAAAAATAAATTCACTTTTTGCGAATATATGTAAGGAGTGTATACTAATTTGTTCTCTTAAATCAGTATTTCTGGCAAGTTACGTATAATATTAGGCAAATAACTATCAGTCTCAGACCCGCGTTTTGCTAATAACCGTAGGCATATCTGATATGTATAAATCCACACTTCAATTATTATGCCTCGGAGCCAATATATCATTCGGAATTTCACTTTCGTCAATATACGTATCGCGTTTTCCCATCTAATATCGTAGTCATTTATATAATTTTCAGTTTTACTCATTCAATTAGTATCGTAAAATTCTATTCTCTTTTCCATCTTAAATTAATGTTTCAATCATTATTTTATTAAAATTTACCATTAGTTATTGTAATTAATTTCTTGTGTTATTCGTATAATATGGATAATACTTGATAATTAGAATTGAAAAAAAAAATTCGTCGACATTCATGTTTATTTTTATAGAAATACCGAGACGTAAGAGTTGTTGAAGATTTTTTCTGAGCGTTTTATTTTCTAAGATCCGAAAATATATTTCGGCGTCGATTATTTCCGCCAGGGCTGTAGACCCTCTGAGCCGTAATCAATCGTTACTGTAAATAAACACGCGGCTTCCACGATTTGTGAGATTTAATATTTTACCTTTATTTATATTTACACATTCAACATCAAAGCCTTATAACTTTAATCGGTTAGAAGTTGTTACTGATTTTCATTGCTTTCCTGTGCGTACTTTGCGGTTCACATTATCTAATATAATTAAATATTCTGTAATTTCATTCATGCACTAGAATATAAAAAAAGATTATGAAAGCCACGTAAAAATTGGCAAGCAAGGGATATGCATATGCGACATCTGTTTAAAGCCATATCTGAATGAGATAAAGGAAAAAGAACGGCAAATGATAGCGTGTTGGCTCAGGCGAGACCTGACGGGAGGTTGCCGTCAAACGCGTTCTTAATCCCGAAACAAATCTCAATGAAGAGCGCGGAGTCCTCGTAATCCTACCCCGTCCACCCCTCACCCGAACCCCCGATTGGCTTTATTAAGGTGTAGCAGACCGCTACAATTATTATGCGTCCCCTGTTTGCGGTAGGTGTCGTGTCTATGTCGCCGTCAGATTCCCTTAATTAAGGATTTGATTCGGCAATTGATACCGTCTTCCACGTATCTTATGATGAGTACGGTTTTAACTTCGTGATTATTTACTATAATAAATCTAAACATACTCTACTTGTGTGTATTGATCTGAATCTAATAGATTCAGATCAATACGCACAAGATGTTATTAATATTATGAACGCGAAAGTTTGTGAGTTTGGATGGGTGTTTGTTCCTGTTTCACGCAAAAACTACTGAACTGATTTTGATGGAACTTTATAGTAATATACGTGGATATAGTATATAATATAGCATGAATATTCGTACAATCGTTATTTTATGTTTTTTTTTTTATATGGAACAGTTTTTGTTTTCCTTTACATTTGTTGATACGTTCTAACGCTTCATAGTACAATTTTTAATTTCAATAAGCAAACATATATGCATTGTATAATAATAATACTTTTTGTATATACTATAAAATTACATTTTATAACGAAGCAATATACGAGTATAACAGCTGAACTTAGTACTAGGTAATTGAATGGCAGAAAATTATGTATAATCTGTATCCATTCTTGACTTTGTAGCTATTGACAAATTAGTAGTTTACAAATGTATTTCATTAATTTTCATGTAATAACTTTCAAATATAAATTTCAACATTGCTTTTTAATATTCTGTTAAGTATTATGAGAAAAAACATAATAAGATCGTCATAGTGAAATTTGTACTGTATACCATACTAGGAGATCGAAATTTATGGACTTCGTACTCAGTTAATAAATACCATTGTGTAGCCTTTCTCTATCTACATGAAATCCTATTCCTCTCAGAAAGAACCGTAAGATAATACAAGTCCGTATAAAAAGTTATATTTTCATATATGGTTTAGTTCTGAATAAAATATATCAATGACTATTTTACATAAGTATCTCCAAAGAAATGCTGCAATTTGCAACGTGAATTAAAGTGTCTGGTTATCTGAAAGGGTGTGCAAGTTGTAAACAAGAACGCATTCAGGGTTGACATAGCTCGCTCATTTGTCGGCAGGCGCCGACAGTTAAGATATCAAATTATACTGTAATCGGTCGGCCTGCGGACCCCGCCCCGGTTAATATTAACATAGCGGAAGCAACCTCGCAACAACGAAATGCGGATTACAAAATTTTAATTTAACCACACAGACATCGATGTTTAAATATTCCATAAAGTAATTGCGCGTTCTGGTTGAATTTTTAATGGAACATTATGAAGGCGCGTGCGCCGCGGATTGATTGAGATCATTTGAATTTCTTGCGCGCAATCGGAGCTCCAAGAGGCGTTATTGAATTAGCCCACGAATATTTAAGCCGAATAAATAAACCAAAACAAAGGATGTATACGGAACGACTATGGAAAAGTTAGTAGTGAATTTTAACTACGTGCAACTTTTTATGTCAATCGAAAAGCGACTGTATATAATGTCAATATAATTGCATAAAATTATAATAACAATTCAACTTTTTGTTAGAGTTTAATAAATTAAAAAAACAAAACAAATATTCCAATTGTAGATTTATAAGGTTTGTACTTAAAGATAATTCAAATCTATTAGAATTAATGAAATTAAAAAGCAAGGGTTTGTATAAGCAAATTCATTTAATCGATATTCCAAGAAATATGCAAAGATAATCACTTAATTAATGAAACAACATCTATAAAAGAATTTAACTAAAAAAATGTAAGGAACAAGATCAATGCGATAAGATAAGATATAATGTGTTTAATAAAAGTATACTTTTCAATAAACGCTTTTGCTACAAAACATTTACGACTACATTTACTTTAGACTGACTGTGAAGCAATGGAGTTACATCGCTTGGTTTCATTGTCCTGTCTAAAGATCACGGTACACAAACGGGTATGAGCAGGATGTAAAAAGCTTCTCAAGGATTGCTATCATCCTTGAAAAGCTTTTTACATCCTTGAATGGAATAAGAAAAAAGGTTCTTTATCCCGAGGGTGTAAACTTTCTTGTTGTATTCTCATAGAAAACAAATCCCGGTCGTATGAACTCGTACGATGAGATTTAGGATGATGTACGAAGATGAAACGCAGCTGTCAGTTCATTGATACTTTGAACGGTAGTACTACCATGTGTCAAGTGTTGTCAATAATATCTATATTTTAATATGTATTAAGCAATTTGTAAGAAACAAAAGAGAAAGATATCAATACCTAAGTTATATATATATGTACCACATGCGGCATACCGAAGATCTAGTTAAACGTTGGTCAAACGTAATCCATGATATAATTGGCTGCCTAACAAGCCTCAGCCACAAACTACATTGTCCATTACCAAACAATATGTTTAGTATCAATATGTTCGAAACGTTAATCCGATATATGTATAGTGTATATACATATATGTATATATATATAATATTAATTCATTATTCTGCGTTATTAATTCATATGGCAAACGTTTTGCCATGAATTAATAACGCTATAATAAAATAGGGGTTGGTGATAGAAGGGTGAAAATTTAAGGTTGTATATATATGTTTAATGACACATAATAATAAAATATAAATAAAATATTTTGTCCAAAAAATTAAAAAATATTGTTAGGGGTTGTCCACCCCTAACATAATTTTTTTATTAGTTTACTCTTCTCACTTAGGGGTATGAAAAATAGATAGTAGCCGATTCACAGACCTACTGAATATGCATATAAAATTTCATAAAAATCGGTCAAGCCGTTTCAGACCAGTATGGTAACTAACATTTGACACAGGAGAATTTTATATATAAGATTATTACGACAATGAATTTGCTTTATATTTCAAACACATACCAGTGATGACTGTCCAAGTTTTCATTTTGTCTACCGACATAAACTCTTTTTGCTTATTCACAACCTAATTACATAAAAATTCCCATTTGCGGTAAGCCTTTTATGCATTCCATTTTAACGTTCCCAAATGGCTGCCCCAAAGAAAATATGGGGCCTTAAAGAGCATTTAACTATGTATGAAGGAGACAGCGCGTTACTTTTAATTTACGTCGACGTTTCTTACCTTGAGTGGTTCTACTTTCTATATTTTATAGGTGTAGGGAAATTGTTAAGGGCATGTGGTATAGGAGAATGGTAGTATACACTTATTATATATACCCCAGTTGATTAGTAAATAGACATAGAATATATGATAATAAAACATAACATAACCTAAGGAGGAAAACCAGATCAGATATAAATTTTGGTTAAAGATTATATTTTTTGTTTAATTTTTGAAACAAATTTTGTCATTGATTCATAATTATTCTCAGATAATGATATATATAATTGCCCATAAACATATTTACTATTACTTTTATTGTTAATAATTTATGTTCTATACTGCATTGCTAACGTGAATTCCGAAATAATTTATCATGTAGTATACTGTAATATATTCTGTCTGTATACAATTTTTCATAAACAATCTTGCAACTATTTAATCGCGACTAACTGCATATTGACAGGCTTCTTAATATATATAATAATTTATAATTTAGGAAAATGAAGAGTCGATGCCTTAAACCAACATGGCACTAGAAAGCGACACCTAATAATACATATGTGGCTAGCGCAGGTGTTGCGCTGGCTGGTCGACGTTTCCTAAAAATGTGAATTTATGTGCGCACCGGACGGACGGCAATGATCGCCGGGCTCATGCCTTAAATTAGGGGGTTTAACGCTTATCCTCTTGCAGTAAATAGACTCAGTGACCAACTATATTACATGTGGGCCCTCACCAGTCCCACATATCCTCCCCTCATTCCCTTGATTGTTTATAGTTGTTTTCCCTCTTAATGTGTTTTTCCCGCGACATTATTCTCTTGATAATGTGTAATTTAACTAGTATAATCATATTCTCATGTAATAGTGCAAAACCGAATAGCGGTGAAGCCACATCAAAGTTTTAACAACTACCTACGTCTACACTGACAGAGATACGCGACAAAAGCAATAAATTTTGTGCTCTACGAGTTTATAACTAAAGTAAAATAGGCATGAAACTTGTTTACTCGAATATTCGCTAAAGTGTTGTAGATGATAAAATACCTACGGTACACCTGAGACACGAACGCTCTTCGTACTTGGAGCATCTTGTATCGCCTCACGGTGGCTGCTAATTTCATCTCGTTTGAACATCCTTATGAACAAGATATTGTCTGCCACTCAACAGCACCCTAATGTTATATCAAAATATTGCTTAGCACCATTGATGTGGTTGTTTCATTAACAGATTTGTTAAATGCAAAAACTGTAGAGTACTATTACTTTGTTTACAGATTCATTCCAAGCCCTAATCCAGTATCCGGACACTCTATCAGCGCAAACTGCAAAAACGGTGAGTACTAAAAACTTTGTTTTTATTTAACTGTTTGTAAAAGTAAAGCCATAAAACAAAGTTTGCTATTGCCACACGTTTCATTCGGTTTAATGACTAGCTTTCGAACTATCTGGAAATGAAGTGACTTAGTCTTATCTAGTCGATTTAAACTGTGTACCTACCTCAGAGTTTCATATTGTACTTAGTTATCAATGGGTTCTAGTTCTTGTTATCTTTGTAAACTTATTAAAATTGTTTAGTTATAATTGGTAAGTGGTCATTGTAGAAATATAGCTTACTTTGACATAATACTATGTAAATTGATTATAGATTTTCATACAATTCAATTATAATTAATGTAATACTAATTTCCATTGGTGTTATTGTTAGTAATAATATTTTTCTACAATTATTGATACCGTTACTATGTAAAATGATTATAGATTGTCATACAATTCAATTATAATTAATATAATACTAATTTCCATTGGTGTTATTTTTAGTAATAATATTTTTCTACAATTATTGATACCGTTTTCTTAAACTTATTTTTCTATAGTGATTAATTATCAATTACATAAATTGGCAAGAATGTCAAGTCTACTACTTACGCAAATATAAACAAATACATTTACTGCAGTAATAGTTCTAAGCCATTCCTATATTAGGTACTAAAGAATCAACACCAAATGATGTACTATATAAAATGATATGTTAAATATTTCTAAACTGATATGCTACTTATGATATAATAGTTCTTTAGAACGTTACCCCAGTTGTAGAAATCATGTGAAATTCTATGTACTTTGACTGAGACGAACGTCAGCTGTTACAATAGAAGACGCTATTAGCAGGCATTCCTTACGTCTACTAATGACGTCTCCAATTGCAAAAGCTGTATGTAGGATTACTATTATTGTATTTATAATACGGTACTAATTTGCTCGTTGTTATGAACTGCTAATACATGTGAACCCTTTTATTTGTTGTTCAAAGTACAACAAACCTTTACAAATATTAAAAAAATTAAAAACGTAATTTTGTCGTCAGTTTCTCGTGGTTAAAGAATTTTCTAATGCGATAGGTTTTGTAAATGCAATTCCTTAAACTTATCCCAAAATAAATAATTGTATAAATAAGTAAAAGAGTTCAGAATGAATCCCACTACTTACTACTGTAATAAGAACAAAATTGGAATATCCCACTTAAGAATTATTCAAAAGAAGAATACGTTTGTACGCAATTAACAATAACATTAAAGGGAATCATTGAGGTCGCGAGTTCGTTACAATGCTGTGCCCATTTCACAGTGGGACATCATTTTTCTGGTCCCAACTTTTCCCATTCGCTATTCATTTGCGTTAGAAGTTGGCCGTGCCGCCTACTGCAGCGACTGTTTTAACTTTATTTCTGATGCAGCGTTCAGGGCAAATTAAATTTCGTTTTGAGGTTTCCGCAACTCGCTTTATGTGTTTAAATACCTATTCAATTTTCGTTTTGTGTCCATTTCATGAATGTTATAAATTGCTTTGTGTAAGGTAATTTCGTATATCATAAATATATTCATTAATTCTATTTTTTTAATCCCTGAAACTACTACGTTACAGGAATAAGTCTAATATAAATTATTAACAAATATGTGTCGTTTACTGCACTTACGATTATAATTTATCGTTAAATGTAGTACTGTATTTATTCCTGAGTTTATTTATAATTTGCTTGTCATACTATACAATTCATTAATGAATTGTACAATAGCGAGTTCACTATCGCGTCTAATTAGACTCTCTTTGCGGTAAATTCAAGTGGAGCTTACTTATCTGTATGGCTTAAAATATGAACGTCAGCTACTTATTTTATTTTAAATTCCCATACTATATAATCGCTTCCAGTTTCTAACTTACTGAACAGATAATAGCGAGTGCGGAAACCCTTCATGGAATTGAGATATCACCGGCACAACGAAGTAGAGTGGTGAAAACTTAGCAACGCTAAGTTTCATCAACTCGTCCGTGGTGGATGGATTTGAACCTGATACGAGCTTTTGCTAGCTTCTACTTTATGAAGACACAGTGCCACTAGTTTAGATAGATATATAATATTTAGAGGATTACTACTTTTGAGATAATTTAATTAACTAACTACGTTGTGAATAGAGTTAGGCAATTTCTGTCTATAATGTGAATTAATTTCAGTTAGAGATATTTAGAATATCTATCTATGTTATACATTGTACACTATCAATAATAATTCATAATTCTAAACTTTTTTTTAATTAATACTTGTTTGAACACATGTGACATGTGTTTAATTTTATAATGTTTAATACATGTATCTACCTTGAAAACACAAACCTTTATTTTGTAATAATTCATTAAAAGTAACGTGCATAAGACTCTAAAATGAATGAAATTTTGTTATTACAACTTCGCTGTTGACAACTACAATATCTACCATTACTTTTAACGTAATTAATTTATGTTGTTAGTTTACTTTCCACAACGTTTATTATTCTACTTTATTGTGTACAATGCTCTAACGAATGTCTCGTCGTCAATGCCAACAATTCCTGCATACCACTCCACCAAACCTTGTATGTCGCAAATTAGTGTTCTTGTGTGGAGCAACTTAGTAGCGAATTACTTCGCTAGTACACATTCGGTCTAGATGTGGAAGATCTCTAAAAGCGAATGCAATTATTCGCTTTATGTATTTCGGTATTTTGTATACGCTAATGATATAGAGTTCTCATTCCGTTCCATTACGCTCTTACTACTTAATGAGTGATGACAATCTATTTATAATTTATCTTAAAGGTGAATGCAATTTGAAATTTTAATACGAATAAGTTCTTAAGTATGACAACTTGTCAGCAAAATTATATCCGCGATGCAGACAGCTATTAAATTTTTGATTGAAATTCAGAATACGTATCCGATATCTTATATTTTTATATATTTATACCCATATAAAGATATTACATTCACCCTTGTATAGGTACATATATTGTGCTTTTCCTAAATCTATGATCCTATTTAGAAAGGTTGAAAGGTTTTGTATATGCCTTACGTAGGCAGACACAATAGTATTGCTTTTTCAAATGGGAAATGTTCCATGAAGTGACAAACTAATACACAATACACATGGGCTTTCCATAATAATATATATATATATTTCTATATCATTATGCAAAACACAATATATTAATGTAAAACTGTATAAAAATATAAAAAATTAAGCAATCTTCTTTAAAGTACTAATTTTTTGTTAATCGAAATCTCAATCAGAACTTTTTGAATCCCGTGGATCAAAATGTTTGTTAAAAAATTGAGAATTCGATTAATAGAAAAATTTAATCTCTATTCATGTGTGTAGCCAGTCTGTCTGTATATTACACTTATCATATCGATCAGTAACTAGTAATAGATATTATTAATTTAATGTAGTTTTTAATATTGTCAATACACTCTTATTGCCAAAGTATAAGAAAATAAAAAAGAAAAGTTCTATGAAAGTTAGTTATAATTAGCTATATATTAAAATAATATTTTGATTAACGATTACAAAGAAAAAAAATAGCATATCTGTACTTATAATTACATTTTAACTTAATTGCGCAATATAAAGGTTTACATATGTATACATTACATGAAAACTATAACGATGGTTGTTAACTAACATACTTTAATAATATCGTCTACTAGAAAATGTTCCAACAATCTTTTAAGACTTGTTTATTAGTCGATAAAAGTGACTGTCGAAGAGACGTATTGATAGCGTAATAACAATGCATTATCAATAGTACAGTGGTCCACAATAAGCCACCCTCTCGTTAACGGATCTAACATCGTAACTCGCTACCCGAGCTAACGAGCTTACAATGTCAGCGGATACTATTTTTATGACTGTCATGTTTCGCACTGTTCTTACCTAGCATATAAGCAGGAGTATAAGAAGCAGTACACAACCGAAATAGTAATAAATTTGAAATGCGAGTTAGAGTTTTCAATAAAGTGCATAACGCTTTATACCCTGTTTTAGTAGATACAACTAAGACTTCAGTTACTTTGTCATAATCAGTAGCTAACTATTTTGTTTCATGCACTTTACTGATGAATATTTGTACATCTTAATCAGCCCACTGCTGTCCACTGCTGTACTCTTCTAAGGTGCTCCAGTGGTGTGCCTACTGCTTTTCTTTTTAATTTGTTACCCGCAACCCTAGTTATGTCATCTCTACACCTGGCTGTTAGGTGCCCCACACCACGTTTGTTAATTTGCGGTCTCTACTCCAGAACACGTTACTTTATATACATTTAATGAAAATACTAAGTGCTTAAATAAACATCTGTTTAATTTGTGATTGTACAGAATAATTGTCTAAATAATAAATTGTGTCTGTAGATATACAGTAGATATACTGTATATCGAGCATTATAATATTTCTTTTATGGATTTAAAAACGCCAACCCTTGTTAAATATTATATACAAAGCTGCACACTATTGCGGTGTCCCCACTCGTACAGTCCTCGCCTCGCGTTCTCTGGGGATGCGACTGGCCGCAGATTTTACTTTAAATGGAATTAAAACGCCCCGAGAGGTAAGTGGTAGAAGAAGAGGTACAAAGTAAAGTGAAGCCGGATAGTGCTTTAGCCACAAAGGGCACAGTCGGATGTTAGAAACGCTGAAATCCCCCGATCCCGTCCTCTATGATCCTTGACATAAATCTCTAACCTCGCCATCAAATCTTTTTAGAAGGCGGCTTATACGTGCAGACACACACATAAATGTATGTACTCTAAATGCGCTTGATCTGTACGCACGGCAAAGTACACGGTGTCGTCATAAAACTAACAGAAATGGAATTGTACGATAATCACATATTGACATGAGGAAACAATTCCTGAAATCGATCAGATCTTTATAATGAAGGAGGACTACTGGCCGAAGGGGGTGGGGGTGGTCTATCGGCGCTACCGTGGCAGATTGCCATCGTCAGTGCCGTGACCATAGAGAC